CCCCCCCCCCCCCCCCCCCCCCCCCCCCCCCCCCCCCCCCCCCCCCCCCCCCCCCCCCCCCCCCCCCCCCCCCCCCCCCCCCCCCCCCCCCCCCCCCCCAACAGTAATCATAAGGGCTCCTCGCGCTTTTCTGTTATCCCTGCAACATTCTATTATTGTTTTCTTAGCTATCTTTTTGTTGTCAAATAAAATAAAAATCGTAAAAAAGTCGTATTAGCTAGCTTTCAATGGATGATTAATACAATCATAAGTAGCAACATCAACTATAACATAACTTGAATACTCTTCTTTAATATGATAAAGAAAAAAGCTACTAACTCTCATCAGTTTCAAAATCTGTTCACTAACAAATCTGAAGGATATTTAATGCCACTTTTATATAAATATTCGACAATTCTAATACGATTTCTTATGCAACTTTATCACTTTTCATACTTGAAAACATCAGCAGTTATTTGTATTTGAAGAAAATAAGAGTAAAAAAAATGTTCTGCTTTTCTTTATCGATGATAAATCGTAATATCATTGATATGTTGCTGTCAACAGTCCAAAAACGAAAAATATTGTAAAACATTGTTTAAATAAATAAGAATTTTTAGGAAATAAATGACAACAAAAGATGGAAAAAATAATGAGTTAATTTTTTCTATGACGATTATTGGTGTTAGGACAAAGAGTTTTAGGACAAACAAATTATATTCCAAAATGGATCGGATTCTTCAATAAATTTAATGTAGTGCAAAATGTATATTTTTAACCTTCTCAAAATCATGTTTATTCTCTTAAAGTTATCGAGAAAAAAATCGAGAGGAATAGAATCGGTTCTACCTATAATGGAATGAAATGTATGTATAAGTTTATTTTCGATCTTTATAATAAATTCTATTAGACAAAAAAAAAAGTGCTCAACTGTGCCTGTTTTTCTACCTTCGTAAGACGGATTAGATAAGACTAAAAAGATCTACATTTTAGTGAGAGTTTAACAGTGATCGCATTAGACCAACTCATAAATGTCTGTAGTTCTTCTCGAACATCATGTTTTTATCAAATGTATGAAGTTAATTGAAATAAAGAAATGAACAAAGTATTGTAGAATCTTTACCTCTTAAGTCTTACTTTAGACTATCATATTTTTCATTTTATTTCGCGTATACATTTGTATTGTACTCGTTTTGTGATATATGTACTAATATCGTTGATACCTTTATGCCAAACACGTTCATCAAGTTTGTTTGAACGATAATTTTAAACCCTTTAAATTAGAATAGAATACGTTTAATGCTAGAATTTACACAAAAATAATTAACATGATAAGTTTTATTTTTGGCTACTTTGTATTATCGATAAATAAATAGATAATTGAAAAAACATCAGTATTTTCGTGCTTATGCTATTTTGGATAAGATAGTTGGTTTGGAAATAGCGTACAAATCGAAATAACTATCTCATTGTCAAAAGTCTATCCTTGATTCAATAACATCTTTTATTTAAAAAAATAATTCGCCATTTTATCCTTGTCAAATCAATTCAAAATACATTTTAAATGTTTTAATTCTGATATTTGCTTGAAAAAGAGACGCTTTTATCGGTGTGGTCTAGTTTATAATTAAAATATAGAAAGAAAACATTTGATATATGTTTTGAATTGAATCAGATAACGTGTGAGTCATGAATAACAACTCTTATAAACTTGTCAGAAATAGTCTTCTCAAAAAAGAAAAAAAAATACTTCGAAGATTTACTCCTCAATCTGCTTTTGGAATTTCTGATTTTTACAGTAACTATGTTGGAATTTCGATAATTATTTTGCCAAAAAATAATAGTATCATAGGACTTTCAACAAAAATTTGGGTTAGGTCGTTTACGACCTCTAGTGATTGGTGTTTGTTGTATATATTATTGTCGAAGGATGTAATGAAATTTCGACAAAATTCTGTACTTTAATGAAGTGATGGAAAAAAATGCAACTGTATTTATAAAGTTGTTGTGAAACAAGAGAAATGGTTTCTATTTTTATATGTGTTCTGCTGTTCTGTTATGTAGCCAAAAGTAAAAATTGTGGAAAATTTGAAATGAATTTTTTTGTTATTGTACGACGGCACTGTCTATAATAGTAGTTTTAGTTGAATAAATATAGCTAAATTTACTCCGTATTAAACTAATTCTCGATTAAATTAATTAAGCTGTGATATTACTTTCGACGGCATTGTCAAAATTTCAAATATTTTCGAAATTTTGACATTCAAAAATAATTTCTAAAATTTGACAAATTTCATTGAAATTACTGCATTTGTCGAAATTTTCATGGAATTTCTAAATTAGTAAAAAATCCAAAAGCAGATCGATGAGTTTACCCTTCAAAATAGCACAATTAAGCAACGATGGTATACTTGCTACCGAAAATGTCTTTCTTTTTTTTTCATTTTACTACAACTCAATATTCCAAATAATTAAAATCTTCGTCGCCAATGTTCTTTATTCTAGTTAAAAATACATTAAATGCAAAAAGAACAAATCATGCCACTTAGTAGTACACATAGAAACAGTTTTAAAATAAATGAAATTAAATGATTTATCTGAATTTTTAATCTGTTTTGTTTGTTTGTTCGACTAGTTTGAGGTCTGGAACATTGTACGCATCATGATTACTCAATGGTGCATAAAAATGAATTAATGTTGGTTCATAATACTCCACAAATGGATACGCTTGCAATTTTTTTGTCTAAAAATACAAAAAAAACGATAAATATATCAACTCTTAATTGAATTAAACAAGAGCATACCTGAATAAATGATGAAAGATGTCTATATACTCGATGAATAGCAATATAAATTGAAAATACACTTTCACAAGGAAATGCTGTATAAACCGATTGAACAGACTTTGGTAATTGAAATGTTTTGTATTCTTCTGCTATCATACGCTTCATTAGATCTTCATCAGCAGATTCCTGATTTTTTCCCAAAACAGCACCAACAATAAAACGACACGACTCAGATGAAACCTAAAAATACTATCAACTATGGCATTTACTAATTCAAACTTATTCGTAGAGAAAAAAACTCACACTATTAGGATCATCATAATAAATGCCAATTGTATTGGCAGATGGTGAAAAATTC